AAAAAAAAGCCGGCCGGCCGGGTCTGTTTAAAAGTTTCGTGTTATGAAAACCAAGATATTAAATTTGTGCGGCCTTATTTTAAAATTATACAGAATAGAAACTCGTAGGTCCTTTAATTCATATTAAATTTCTCCGGGTTTATAATGTGTAGGATTAATTGGTAAGAATGCGGCAGTGACATTTCGACCCTCTTCGGCCAAAACATTGAATGTTGACACCGCGTTGTCCTAATCAAAAAGATATTATTTAGTCAAACGCTTTCGCTGATGATATATAGTCAACTTTCTCTAATGAAGCTTGCTTTAGAATTTTCTTAATAGCCCACTATATTAGACCATACAAGTTAATTCCTTTGTTTTCATAATATGAAACTTTTAAAACAGGCTGCTTTCTTTTTTTTTTTTTTTTATCCGGTTTTTAATTTTCAATTTTGGTTATGAAAACCAATCAATTAATTTTACATAGCATTGTGGAAAGTCAACTATATATTGTTACATTACCACCAGCGTACCGTATCTGAGTATTCTATTTGTAATCCTAATTTATGGATGTAATCTCGTATTTCTGGGGGAATCGGAACAGACATTTTTCCTGTTCCAAAGATCAAAAGTTCTAAAATTCATATGATCATTAATAATATCTAATGGTCGAACCATTCATTTTGAAATAATAGGTCAAATAAATTGTTACCAGGTTTTGGTGTAATAATTTCAAAAATTTTCAGAAAATCTTTATTCCATCCATCAAACACATTATCTATCCTATTTTTTTCTTGCCTAAAACTACCTTGAGGAACATTCCACAAAAATAGCGAACCATTGATTAAGATCACAGGCCCTCTTACTCTTAAATCGGTTGAAGTTATAAACCCGTATTTTGTCACTTTACGAATCATAGTCCATGAACGTATTAAAGAATCATCAAATATATTATGAAAGGGTGATTTTGGTTCTGTTGGAATGTGTACTATAGTTGTTAGACGAAACTATTTTACGAGACGACGAAAATACGAAACCTAACCTTCTGAAAGACGAAACTGTGAATGACAAAACCCCCTGCTGAAGACGAAACTTCTGCGAAGGGCGAAACTCTTTGATGAAAAGACGAACATTAATAAAAAAAAAAACGAGATTATAAAAAAACAATAAAAAAACAAAGCTGTAGGGTGTCCAGGATTATGCGATGCGATGGGGTAAATTATGCGATTTGACCGAGGTCAATTATGCGATGAATGCGAAATACTAAATGTTCTTGTAACAACCTGTTACATGTAATAACCTCATATTAGCCAAGAGTAATTAGAGTTAGGGTTTGGGTTACACAAATATTTGGTTATTTTTATTGGTTGTACTAATTAAGTTGTTACAAATAAGCGTGTAACAGGTTGTTACAATTAGATTCGTCCTAATTTTAAATATTTGCGATTTTTATAGTACGTATATACTATATGTATTTATTATACTACCTGGGGCGTCGTCAATCAAAACGTACCATAGTGAGATTAATCGTAACATGTTATTTGTAACAACTTACTCGGTATAATAAATTATGTCGGACATTAGGTTAAAAGTCCCTAAACAGGTCCCCATTTTTTAATCACACTGATTATGACTTTGATGCTTAGTAATCGTTGTAATAAATTAAATTCGTTTATATGTACAAATAAAAAATAATAAAATTAAATATTAGCGGAGATGATAAAAGAGGGACCTGTTTAGGGACTTTTAACCAACCCGGTAGATAGGGTAGGGTGAATGTAGATTATTTCTTATAAGTATATCAGCTAAAAAAATATTACACAAAATTTTAATGTGTTACATATAAAAGTTTTTCAAAATATAGTCAATTCTTGTAAAAACTTTAGAATATATACATTAAGCCCTTCTAATTATATTAATACAATTTTAAACTCTTATTTTACTTTAAAAAATATATTTATATTTGTCGTACCCCAGATAGGAATTTGCCCAATTTGGAATCCGGCCATTCTAATTCAGAATCGAGATAGCCAGATTTAGAATTCTTATATAGGATACCCAGTTTGATAATTAGTAAGGTTAGGATTAGAATTAGAATATTAGTATAGTAAGACAGATATCCTGTATAAAAATTTTAAATCTGGCCATTCTGATTCTGAATCAGGATAGCCAGATTCTGAATTGGGCAAATTTCAATCTGGGGTACAACATATATATTATTAATTCTTTCTAAGTTAACCAAAATTTGTCTAAGTTACATAATATAAATAACATATGATCATCATATGATTTTAATTGAATATTATTATAAAAAAATTAGTAATGTGATTACTAGTAAAAATGATCTATATTTACCTTACTCTTAAAACAAATATTCTGTAATTTTTATAAACAGCAGCTTTTTAAAAAATAATTTTGTATGATTAATTAATTTGTAACAGATATATATAAGGCCATTGCAGTAGAAAGAGCCCAAACTCCCCAGAAATCAAAATTAAGTTTTTGTAAGATTTGAATAAATTTCGAGATAGGTTATATTTTTTGATTATGAAGGAAAATTGATTTGCTTAATAAAAAATCAAAATATATTTAAAAAATTTGTACAGTGCACGATACTTAAAGACTACACAAACTTTAAAAGCCAATAACTTTTGATCTAAAAAGGATATTTTAAAAAGGAAGCCACTATTTTGTAGCTAAATCAATTTATTACAACTTAGCAGCCTTATTTTTTAAAAAGT